CTGTCTTTTTTTGTTAATTAAAAATTACGTCATTAATATTAATCGCTGGATTCAAGATGGCCGCTTACTCGGGAGCATTACTGAAGGCTTATATAATAAAATTTTGAGTAGGAGGAATTAAATCGACCGCGTCGCAATTTATAATTCACAACAAGTCAATGTTGTTCAGCCTTCAGCCCAACCTCCCCCCGCCCCGTAATAATCAAATTAATGGCGCACCGCGTATAGTAGACTTTTATCAAATACAGAAAAGTATGACGGATCACCACGCAACCCTAATCCAACCCTGTTCAAAGGCTCGTTTACACTAGACTTTCCAAAGTCCTTTCCAGACCCTTTTATGGCGCGCTTCACTTCCGCTACTTCGTCGCTCGGGTCGCGCGCTCCCGGCTCCCCCGCGCCCTCCCTCCCCCATGGTCGACTTGTGGCAAGTCTACGTTTACACTTGCAATTTCTGCTGCGATTTTAGGTGCGATTTTCTTCTTCTGATCGATGTGAACGAGTGGATAAGTTATGAATGTTCGGATGAGGGTTACATGCAGTGAACTCGTTGCATGTTCTCCGAACATTCTTATCTACTCGTTCACATGCGTCAGAAGGAGAAAATCGTACTTCAGAAATCGCAGCAAAAATTGCAAGTGTAAATGGGTCTTTAAAGACCATGTAAAGTCTGTTCTGCGCATACGTTCTGCGCAGGCCAACATTCCAATGGTCGCGGGACTTGACCACTCGAATGTTACTAATATTTCGCACGTTCCGAACTTTCTTGAATTGAATCTTTAGTCTGTATTCATTTACAAGCATAGCGAACCAGGAGAGTTTTAAAAATTCAGTATAATATATATCTAATCATATTTTACAACTGTAGCACTGAGTTCAAAATGCAAACAAAGCGTTTGTTTACATTACGGACTTTACATGGCCTTCAAGGTCTGAAAATTCCGTAACAATTTGCATACAAGCATGGGCGTACCGGGCGGGGGGGGGGGGGGGGGGGGGGCGGTCGGGCAATATTTGTTGGGCAGTCGGGCAATATTCGCTGAACAGTCGGGCAATTTTGGTGTATTAAAAAAATAAATGGGACAAATTCTGTAAATTTTGTGGTCAATTTTGTGATGTTTCCAAAATTTTTGTTAGGTTTCGGAAACTTAAAATAGGTTTGGTTTTTTCGATGCGGCTTGTTAACTCCTTACTGTCTAATGAATTTTTTTAATGTGATCCAATAATAGATTTGATTTGCAATTAAGTTTCAAATTTCACGCTTTTAGAACGTATAACTAAAAACAAAAAATTATTGATGCTAGATAACTTTAAAACGTATTTTGCGCACAAAATTCTAAATAAAATGAACATTTAAGCGGTTGCTCTTTAATTCATTAATTTGTGCTCACAATTCATTAAGCATTACTGATGCGCATTTAATTACCGAAAGCCAGCTTAAGGCTTTAAGAAATGTAAATTTGAGCTACATATTTGTGGACAAACAACGAATTTAATTGTTTAAACATTCACATATTGCATCGGTTGGAGAAAGAACAGTAAACAAGCCAATTTAAACAAGTAGATTTTAAACACAGACTTGCCATAAATTGCAATGTTTTTTTTTGTAATTGCCTCTGGGCAGTGGGCATATATATCTGTATTGGAGAGTTTCCCCAAATTTCCGTGCGCACACGTAATATATAGCCGTCTCCGGACATACGTCTGTTAAGTAGGGAAAGGCAAAGTTATTAATATTTTATGACTTAGTTTGCTTTTAAGCATGATTGAACAGAAAATTACATTCAATATGCAGCAAGCTTTGTGCATGGAAAATATTATTTGAGTTGTATATCGCTAATTTGAACTTGCTTTGTTTCTCATTTCAAAGATAAAAATCCGTGTGTAAATATCGTGTGCGGTTCAAAGAAAAACACGAGTAATTATTTCTGACAACTATAAATACGGGTCGTTAATGCGTTTTGAAAAATCCAAGTGGCCGAATTGTCCGTGCATACAAGAGAACGCGTCATAGCAACACAATTGAAATTGCTTGTATATGACTGTCAGCTGCTGGGGCGAAAACTGACGCGCTATATATATATAAAGGTTTACACAAGGTAGAGTGTATAAGTATATTGTAGTTTTTCGTACTGTTTTAGTTATGTTATGTACATAAAAAAAAGCTTATGCTTTTAATCATTCTTTTTATGACATTTTATATCTATGCGCAAATTGTACATGACAGCGTATATATCCAGATGTTTATAAATTTTAACATTGTAAAAGTAACGTTATACTTATGAGTTATGGATACTGCAAAACAGCTGTACGTATTATACAAGATTACTGTATATCATAACCCACAAAATGGCATTGTAGTTATCATTTTATCGATGTTATCCGGCACATATTATATACATGTTATTACATTTTATACACAAAGATATATCATTTTAATAAAATGTTTTCTCACAGTATGTGTGAATGCAGGTCACTTTAAATTTACAAAGTAGTATGCTTTGAAACAAGAACAAAATTATACCATATTAAAAGATGTATAGAGTTTTTTTAATGTCCGGCTGAAGCTACGTGCATTGTACATAATATGTACAAAAGCTTAACCCTTAATAAATCCGTTTTGTAACCGCCATCCGAGTATTATACAGTTAACAACTTAAAATTCTCATGATATGTTTTAATACTTGAAACACAAACAAAATCGTAGAATTGGACAAAATATTTTGGTAGATGCGCTGTATTTTATAATTCCTAAATTTTTTTAATTTCGTTATGTAAATATTACATATCAGAAAGTGAAAAATGTTCAGACGCATTTAATTATTATACGTTTTGTTACATTGCATCAAACACGGAAGTCATGGATACCTAAATTTTATAGATGCACGCAGACACAAAAATACGACTAAAAATGCATAAGGCACATTGTTTGACATCATACAAAGCATGTCGTGTCAAACAATTATACATTATCTTGGCGAATTAGTACATTGGACTGAACTAATTGTTTATACTGGATAGCTCCATCAATGTCCACAGTATATACTTCTTATATTTTACCTACCTCTAAAGACAGCTCTGCTTCGGTTGTGTTCCTTGCCGGAATGTCTACCGTGAATTTCTTTTGCACAGTCCATCCCAGTTTCCATTCCATTCTTATATTACTGACATGTCCATACCATCTCAGTCTTGCTTCCCTCGTTTCTCTGCAATGTCTACCACCCCATATCTTCTGATATCTTCATTTCATAATGTCTCTGATCAGCTCCCCTTCATCTCTTCTTATATTACATGTCCATACCATCTCAGCCTTGCTTCCTTCACTTCTCTGCAATATCTACCACCCCATATCTTCTGATATCTTCATCCCATAATGTCTCTGACCAGCTCTCCTTCATCTCTTCTTATTACATGTCCAGTTATTGTCATACCATCTCAACCTTCCTTCCCTCACCTTTTTTGCAATGTCTACTACCCCATATCTTCTGACCTCTTCATTCCATAATGTCTCTTACCAGCTCTCCTTCATCTCTTCTTATTACATGTTCATACCATCTCAGCCTTACTTCTCTCGCCTTCTCTGTAATGTCTACCATGCACATCACATTTTCTCTGATTTCTTCGTGTCATCTTGTCCTTCAGAAAAAAACTCCCCGGATTCGAATCTCAGTATACTTCTCGTCAGATCTCGTGCATGTCAAATCGAAAGGCGACATCGTACATGATAGAGTAAAAATTGCCTGTGACTGTGTGCATGCGTAAAAATATCACAGCTTGCCAACAGATAAGTTCGCACTGCTTGTTCTCAGTTGTTGTGACAAGTCTGAAAAAAGTTGTTATTCACTTGTAACTTCGCAACAAGTTGTTCCAGCAAGTCTGATGTCGTCTGCACGTAACAAGTTGTTAACAACAAGCTTACGAATAGCTTGTAATAGTCTTGTTGGAACAACTTGTAGTAAATCTGTTACCGTCATCAACCTTGTAACAAGGTGATAACAACTTGTTCCAGACTTGTCACAACAACTGGGAACAAGCAGTGGGAACACGTCCCGATATCCCGATGTGCAGGTCTGTAAAAACTTGCGCGTTTTTACGCGCACAACACATTCGGCTACTGACCGACGAAGGAACTTCGCTGGAAAGGTCAATGTTCTACATATATTTTTCAAGTAGTTGTCTCAGCCACAGCTATATCTCACATATAAATATCCAATATCAAAGGCGCCCAGATTGTAATTCAACGCACAACATGCGACGAGAATCAATAACCACAACATAAAAACCGTAAATTTCTCTCCCACGGTGCACAGACCAAAATCGGTTGCGAGTAATGTTTTCCAGACACTGAAATACAGCGTAAAACAAACAGATTTGGTGAGTTATAACCGCGCGGAAGCTAGCAGTTTATATTACTCGCTCCAACCTATGCAAAACGTGTTTGTTTTACTGTCTGGGCTCGAGGCACCATGTCGTACTCAGAGAAATGAGCCGGTACTTCATTATCGCATTAAAATTACGGCAATTGTTGTGTGTAATGCAGATTGACAAGATGGCTAATAATGCTTTGGAAAACAAAATGTTACAAATTAAAGTTCAAGAGTGTACATCTTTGTACGTTTTTGTGAGGAGATCCAGTCGTTGTTTAGTCGTTGTTAAGGAGTTCATAGAGCACTCTTTCAAAAAACCAAAGCAACTTTCATATCCAACAGCGAAATCTAATTACCAACAGTTATAAGTAAATGATGAGACAGCGCACTGCACGAATTTTGTTCGCGAGATTTGAAAACTGGAATCGTTACATCGCACGAGAAGTGGTGTCAGGGATTCAATTAAGGTGTCTGAATTCTTCAATGAAACGATTGCCGAATTTTAAGCCCCCATAAATCTATTTAGCGAGCAGAGATTGGGTTAATTTGTCAGCTCATTGAACAAAGAGAATTATGAATAAGGTCGTAGATAATTAAGTAAAAATGAAAGCAAATTTTTTTTTTGTGAATTATCCATTGTGTCATACCAATTTATCATCGCAACGCGCAAAACGTCAAAACAAATATGCGAAAACGTTTGAAAACTGTTTTTTGAATACTGGTAAAGCGTTTGAGGTTTCCATTTAGTATTATGACTAGGGTATTGAGATGGGTATTAAAAATTAATGAATAATACAAGCAGATTAAAGCAGTTGATAAATCATGAATTCCTGAGAGTTCTTCATATCATTTGTGCTTTCAATTGACGCGACCTTGTTGTCGATCCGATGACACGTTAGGGGGTCACAAAGGGAATAAAATGACTAGGTCATTGAGACTGCAACTTGTATAGACTGCCATTAAATAGCCATTCTCTTTCACAGGAACGAGACCTAGAAAAGGCGGGAAAGAGCCACGTATCAAAGAAAAGGATTTGTGTTGCATGATTTGAAGACAGATTGTATACATCATGAAAATTTTACCCAAATTGCTTCAAGTTGTACCGCTGTTGCTTTTGAGCGAAATTTACGCAGGTAAAATGAAACCAAGATCTTTTTTTTAACAGTATATTTATGGACACAGCATACGTTTGCTGGAGTATATATATTACCTAATTATGAGGTAGTAAATTTATGTACAGTATATATGCATACGGCAATGTAGTCTGACAACTCAACTTAATTGCATTAAACTAATGTTGGGGACGCTAAAAATGCTATATATGCCTTTTAGGACATTGATTGCACGAGTAAGGAGCAGTTCTTCTGTCAGACACGAAACCGTATAGATTAGCCGGGAAATGAGTAGGTGATGTTCCGCAGCAATAGACAGGGAATTGGAACATTTTTCATGAATAATCCATGTTCTGTAGAGATCAATCTGCAGATAGCGGTGTAAGGCATTAAGAGATTAAAGACCCGTTACCCTTGCAATTTGTGCTGCGACTTCCAGTGCGATCTTCTCCTTCTGACGCATGTGAACGAGTAGATGAGTTACGAATGTTCTGAGTATATCTACCCTCATCTAAACAATCCTAACTCATCCACTCGTTCACATCCGGGAGAAGAAGAAAATATGGCACCTAAAATCGCAGCAAAAATTACAAATGTAAACCGACCATATATAAGTGGAGCATTTTAGGCAAACATCAGAAAATGCCTTCAAGCCGTTTTATGGGTACAAACTATAACTCGAGATTTGCCACAGTGTTTTTCCTAACATTTAACCGCGCGAGATGAAAATGACGAAAAAAATAGAGTTTACATTTTATAAAGTATAATAATATACTGTAGTTCAGTTTCATGATTCGCCACAAATATGAAAAGATAAGGTGTGTTGCAGTTAATAGGAACGAAACGCCGTTCCAATATACTCTTGAACTTTCGAGTCACATGTATCGTTTTTTAAATCTTCAAGATCCAATTGTAGAGGCATTACCATTCTTACAATGTTTTCATTTTAAAAATGTTTTAGACGCAACCCTTTTCTTTGTAGAAGAAGGCTTATTATGTTAAAGAGCTGTCACTATTCATATAGAAAGCGATATTTTTAGCAGAATCATGTCCGGCCGTACATTCTAGACACTGGTACGAAATGAAAACATTTGGTTTAGCAGCAACGAACAGAATTGTCCACATCGTTTTATTATATATGCTATATAAAAAAAGGAATTTGAAACAGGTTTTTGGTAGTTCACGAAAAGTGTGCAGTACACACACGCATTTAAACACACAGATGTCTCTATTCAATATTAGTAACAGCAATTTTGGTCACGCCTCATAAAAATCACAATAGCTTAATGCTGAATAGTGAATGGAAAAGGTGGGCCGCAATTTAGAGAATGTAACGATTGATACATTATGGCATTTTAAAGCCGCGTCCAGCTGCTGAGTGAAGAAACAATATACAAAAAAAAAGTCAAGACTTAAATGGCAAACACATTTGAATATCAAAGTGGGTGATATCTGGCACCTCACCTCCCACTAATTACATCGCTGTAGTCTAATATTTAGTGTATACAGAGCATTAATATCTCGTAAAACAAAGATCTTAACCACTGCAAGATCGGGCAACAGAGATATTAGAGAGGTTAAGATACCCCGGTTCCGGTTTACGGGTACGGGTGATATACACATACGCGTACCCGTAAATCGGGGAACGACTTGTAACTTAAGAAATCCAAGATATTCCGGCGTGAGAAAACCGATCAGAGAATGGTAACTTTCGCTGTTGAGGTTCGCTATAGATTGTTGAAAATGTTTACTATTTAAACGGCCCACAAATAATAAACAGAAAACATCCGTACCCGTTTGTCTTTTACGTGTAGACCATGGTTTACCGCGGGGAAATGGATAGAAATTACGAGTAAAAATGCTGACATGAGCAAAAATTGGTAAATAAAATGGCGTTACTCGTACCCGTAAACCGGAACCGGGGTATCTTAACCTCTCTAATACACAGCATTCTGCGCTCCCCAGTATAAAGCGGGTGTGTCCTAATCATCCTTACTCGCAGCTCAGAGCTAAACTGAATTGCGAAGGGCGATAGCTCAATCTGATCGAGCCGAAGCCTCTCCATGGACGCCTCTAACAGCCACCTTGGGACACATGTCTGATCACGGAGCCCAGCTACAGACGCTGTCAACTTTCCCTGTGGGAGGAAACCGAAGCACCCGGAGAAAACCCACGATTTTCAGTGGAGCGCTGACCGACTCTTTCATATATGAATCTGCAGTGAGAATCGAACCCACCCACGAGCCCAAATGCGAAAGCCCCTCTCTAAATTTCGAAAAACGCTGGGTGGATGACAGCCAATGATCGTAACTAGCTCTTCTATTAAAATATTTCATAGTTCATCACAGCAAAAAGTGGATAAGAGCAGCATTGGAATTATAAGATATTCGGAATAACATGTATTCAACCATTTAAACGTTGCAGTAGCCAAGAGTAATTATTACAACTTGTTTTTGTTAGAAATTAATAGACAAAAATTCTGACCATATTTGAAAACTCATTAACAATTCATGAGAAAAATATAAAAGAAATGAATGTTTAATCAATGTTTGTAAATCGGATACAGATTTGTCCTGATTTACATAAACTTTAACTTTGATTTTCTCGGCTTAGACAATGTTTATTTTTAAAATTACTTCGCCACTGTACTCACAAGATGGGTCGCTTTTTTTTCTCGCCTTCGGCTCGAGTTTGTATATCAGATAAAGATCGGTTGCTCATGTTTTATCTAGTACTTATGCATGTAAGCGCACCCTAACATGTGCGCAATCTTCAACTCTATAATAGGTGTGGTGACCTATATTTCCAAATGAATTTTCAATAAGTTTGAGTTCTATTTTTACAGACAATTTGTGGTAGCGCGTGTCATGAGGAAATTTTAACTACTTTTTAAGTACTTGAGATTTGTCAATGTAGTCATCAATAGACCTTTCCCCTTTTAAGTGAAATTTTGATCTAGACAAGTCTGGACAAAAATTTCATCACAGCTTGAAAGAGCATCACAAAATTAGTAATATTCCGAAGTTTCGTTGCGAAATGTTGTAAAATGCGGATAATATAGCCTTGCGAAGTTTGCCGTTTTTCAGTCATTTTGATTACAAATGGGAAATTGATAATCAGATGATCAAACTGATTATCAATTTCCCGTGC